GTTCCGGATGTCAGCCGGTCTCGCAGATCTCTCGCGCGTCTGGTCGGGGAGTGTAGGCCGTTTCGGATCCCGCTGCGCGCCTCGCCCCTCGCCCTCTTCTATGCGGGGCTCCTCTTCCTCGCCTCCTCCGCCGCCGCCGGCGTCGCGCACGCGCGCAGCTCTGGCGCGACGCTCTCCTCCGCCGCGCGCGCGTGCGCGAGCGGACCGGGGTGGTGGTGGAGGCGGAGGCCGGCGGCGAGGTACCTGCTTCCCGCCGACGCGGCGGCAAAGGCGGGCGTGCAGCTGGACGTCTTTGATCAGGCCTCAGCTGTTAGTTGTCAAAGCTGTTCACACTCTTTTTATCGTGGTAATGAGCAGCTGGACGTGTTTGACCAGGCGTCGCAGCGAGGAGAGTGGACGGTCAGCGTTTGGCCAGCCAGCACGCCTCCCAGCCTCTTCACGGCGAGCGGTGTGAACAGGGTCGCTCGACCAGTACGTCGAGCCCATCCGCCGGGTGCCCAGCGGCTCCTGCCGCGCCGCAGCGGCCGACGAACCGCCGGCCGCCGAGGAGAGCGACGAGGACCAGTCGGCGGCCAGCTGTTAGTCAGTACAATTACTAGTTCCTGATTACTGAAATAATAGTTGAGCGACGAGGCCCAGTCGGCCGCCAGCTCAGCCGTCGGGTCGGCGACCGGCACGCCCTGTCTCGCAGCTCTCGCAGCCAGTGAGCGGAAGCACACCTGAGCCCGCCTCTCGCGGAAGCGGGCGGCGATCTCGCGCGCGGGGAGGGGTGGGGAGGGCCAGCCGGTCTCTCTCGCTCTCCGCGGCGCCGCGCAACACGGCGTGAACGGGTGACTCTTGTCCGCTCCCGATCGCGGGAACCGGGATCAGTCGTACAATTTCCTTGATCCTACAAAAAATGTAAATCGGTGCGGGGCAAATCTCGACACTTCGCTCTTCGGCGGCACAAAACAGGCTAAATTACCAGGGTCCCCCCCCCCCCCCGGGGTCAGTACGATTTTACCAGCCGCATTGCTATTCTCGGACCTTCTTTGCGTTCGGCGTCGTAGCGTCTCGCGGGCTCCGCTGCGGCTTGCTGCTACCTACCCATGGGGCTAGCTCCTCTTGCATCTCATTGTTTCTCATCCTCCTCCCCCTCCCCCTCCCCCCCCTCCTCCTCCTCTCCCTCCTCATCTTTGGAGGACTCCTCCACTCGAGAGCCCTAGGATTAATGGCAGATATTGCACCTCTCGTCGCGTCATGCAGGGACGAGCAGCTGGCAAAGGCGCCCCGGTCGATGCTAGTGAGGCTGTTCGGCAGCGCGACGGTGGTGAGGGTGGAGCAGCCATCGAAGGCGCGCTCGCCGATCGAGGTGAGTCTGTCCGGCAGCGTGACAGCGGTGAGGGCGGAGCAGCCACAGAAGGCGCCCCAGCCGATGCTAGTGAGACTGTCCGGCAGCGTGACGGTGGTGAGGGACGAGCAGCCAAAGAAGGCGCTCTCGATGATTGTTTCCGCCGCGATGGGTTGATGCAGCACCGCCGCCACGATGGCGCTCGGCCTCCGCATCGGCGCGCCTCCCAGCGACGCCGTGGTGTCCGCGGCCGCGAGCGGCCCCAGCAGCGCCGCCTGCGCCGCCGTCTGCTCCTCCGCCGCCCTCCGCCTCTTCTCCTTTGGCGCATCGGCCCACCCCTGGTGCTGCTCGGCGCGCCGCTCGCCCTTCTCGAGCCTCTCCCTCTTCGTGGGCGGACGGGCGTACGCGAACAGCTCGTCGGCGTCGCCCGCCGCCGCCCGCCTTTCCGCGGGCACGGTGCGCACCGCCTCCGCCGTCCACGCCTCCCGCAACGCCGCGCCCCGGCCCTCGCCGAGCCGCTGGAATGGTCCACCGCCGTCGGCGTTCGCCGCCGCCGCGGCCCAGCCCGCCGCGGTCAGCGCCGCGCCCTGACCGACAAACGCGCACAGCGGATCCGGCATCTGGCCCGCCGCCTCCCTCGCCCCGTGGTGGCCAGACCCTCCTCCACCCTTTGTGCAATCGCGCTTGTTACGCCTGATCGCATCATCGATTCATTATATTACGTCCGTCCCGCCAACCCGCCGCGCGGCCAGACTCCACATCACCTCAACCTAAACGAATACGGGCAGTCTGGCTCCTGGGGGACCCTGATCGCGTACATCGATTGATTGAGTGTCCGCGGCCGCGAGCGGCCCCAGCAGCGCCG